AGATCCCTTTCGTTGTCTATACTATACGTACAGCCAACGGAACAATACGAAATAACCATTTTCAACAGCCAAACAAAACGGAAACGTATAATCCGACTTGCAACTGACAGGAGCCAAATGAACGTTTTTTTATTGCCGTCCAGTAACAAGGTCACGTGACCCGTGCAAGTCCTCTATCTATATGTACATTATAATGATATGCTTCTGATGAAATGTGGACAATGTTCAATACAAATGGATATATGACGAATACTGGATTATCAACATTGAATATCATACGTAAAATTAATTGTTTATACAACTGTTTTATTCCTTTTCAACTAATCGGAACTCAATTCATGCTATTGTTTTCCCAAAAAAAAAAAATTGACAATATAATTGGCTTAAAAAATATATAATTAAATAATGTCATATTGGCTCTAGAATTTAATTTGGCAAAAAAAAAAAAGTTGCTTCAGATAGCGCTTTACTTTTGCAGAGAATGGCGCACATTTCGTTGTAATTTTGTAATTTTCAGCGACCTTGACTTTCTGTTTTGACAGTAGGACGATAAAATATTGTAGAATATGGCTGTTCCACATAGGCCTAGTTTAGGGATGTTTATATGAGCATTAGATTGCCTTTGTGATTGTTTTTACAGTTATAGTTTATTTAATTGATTTGTTCGGATTTCATTGACGAATGATTTCATGTTAAACTTATGATAATTTAAGCCTGGAATAGCAGACAAATTCGGTATGTTATAATTTTTAACTCTTTCTGATTTGAAAGCTGCAAGTTATTTAATAGTAATTTGGTTAGACTTGTTAATTGACTATGTTTGATAAATGTGTTCATAAATTTGAGTAGGCTTTCTAAAGGCCGAATTGTGTTCAATTATTGTATTTTGTATTGATTTGTTTTTACGTTTGTATTAAGATAACCGTGTCAACTGTATACTTCGAGTTGTGTGATTTTCTTGATTGAGGATACAAACTTGGGGCTTGAAAGACCGCGTTGTTGAACTGTTAATAAATATCTAGTGTGCAGTCGGTGTCGTCCAGGTCACAAAGAACGGCTGTTACATTAAAGTTATCGAATTTATGCATATAACGTTTGATAGTGTATAAATAAAGTATCGTCGAATGCCGGCAGGAGTTCGGTAAATCGTCAAATTCGAAGAAATCATCCTACTGTTGAACATTGTTTGAAGAGCACTGTAATTGTACATTATGGATGCGCAATTTGTTTCAAAATCAAATTTAGAAGAGTTACGTGCTCGTATAAAGGAATTATATCAAGATGCTGAGAGACTTATGTCAGACGGTCAGACCGTAAATATATACTGTCAGACTACAAAAATCTAGATTTGTTGAGTTGAAAAGTGCTGACATTGACAAACGGTTCACAGAGTATTCAAATGCTCATGAAATTCATGTGAGTACTTTACGTTTTGAAGAAATCGGAGAAATGTCAGTGAATTTTTCCAGTGTGAACTGCGCGAGTTTCAAGAATTCAATGTGCACTTACGCGATTGGTTCAAAAAGTCTGACGTTGATGGCCATAAATCATCGACACATAGCCCTAAAGCACGTTCTATAATTTCTGGAAAAATTTCCCGTCGTTCGTGTGCCATTTCAAGTTCGAGTACTAAACGTACAGAAGCCATTGCCATCAGAGAACTTGCTCATGCTAGTATTTGGCAGCAAGTAGAAAAGGATGCCGCAAAAAAAGCGAGAAGATGATGCGAAAATGGCAGTAGAAAAATGAAATTAGATGCCCAACTTGAAGCTGAAAGGCTAGAGCAAGAAGTGCAAAGACTTAAACATGCAGCTATGGAAAATGCTAAGAGGCTGGAGCGTGAAGCTATGTAGAATGCAGAAAACCAAGAGCGAGAAGCTCAAATGAAGGCTGAAAAGCTTAAACGTGATGCCGAAATGAGAGCTAGACAAATTGAAGAAGATGCTCAAAGTGGAACAAAGCGTTTGGAATTGCAGCATGCATATGAATCAGCCTGTATAGCAGCCGATATACGGGAAAATGCTTCTCAGGGAGGCGAAGGTATGTCATTATATGAAAATATGTCTCGTTCACATTCACCTAATCAAATCCAAGAGTTGAATGAAATAGTGGTTCCAGTATTAAAGCCTCCTGATGTGAGTGCTAAATTGCCAGCATCAGATTTGTTGTCACAATCTCGAGTCAGAGTGGAAAATCCTGTATTAAATGTTAGAAGACCTAGCTGCTTCTCCTGTTAATATAAGAGAAGCGGTGAATGTGAATATACCTGATCGGTACAAACCATTAAATCGACCTCCGTACACAGAAGCACAAATCCCACAACAAGGAAACACGCACGATCAATCATCGCCGAATGTGGCAAGTTTATTGGGTAATATGGCATCTATGTTGCAAGACGGAATTGATAGACCTCGACCTGAATTATAGAATAGAGACTGAATATGTCCGGTTTATCACTAACTTCAATCTGGATATTGATAAAAGAGTACATGATACAAGTACAAAGTTGTGTACAATACTGTGAAGGTGATGCAAGGGAACTGATTATGCACTGCACAATGTTGTCACCCGATGAAAGCTATAAAGAAGCATGCGATTTGCTCCGAAAGACATACAGTCGACCAATGCTTGTGGCTAGAAATTATTGAGAAAAGTTGACTAACTAAAGGACCATGGTTGAAACCTGGAGATAGCGAAGGCTTGTTACGTCTTTCTCAAACATTAGAAGAATGTTTAGTCATTTTGATACATTTGAAATATTTTGGGGATTTGGACAATTTTGATACTATTTTGTCCCTCGTATTACGACTTCCTCTCAAGTTGCGGAACAGCTGGGAAGAATCGGTGGCAGGATTAGATGGACAAAATAAAGAAGTGAGATTTAGAGATCTTGTTCGATTTATGAAGAAAAGGGCTGCTGCTGCAAATACGCCTGATGGAAAAGCCTTGAGAGTTCGAAGGGAGCAAGAATAGCAATATCGTTTACGATTTCAATCATCGAATAGGCGAAAGATTTACGCTCATTCTATTGCTGTGACTTCAGCTGTTGACAGCAGTGTTACCAGTGCAAAACATATTGAAAAGGGAAGAGATATCTGTCCTGAATGTTTGAAGACGTCACACAAACTTGTCGACTGTTACAAATTCCTGCAGAAGTCACACGGTGACCGCTTGAAGATTGTTAGAAAGGCAAGATTGTGCGACAATTGTTTTGTACATGGTCATATGTCGAGAAATTGCCGTAAACCACCTGCTTGTACTGTTGACGGGTGTAGGTTGAAACATAATACTTTATTGCACAGAAGAGAACAAGAGACATGTACCCAGACAGAAAATGCTGCTGGTATGCATGAGTCAAAAGTTGAAGCATATGCGACTTCAAAAATCTCAGCAGGATGTTTTTTAAATATTGTACCTGTCAAGATCTGTGCTAACAGGAGAGAAATAGAAACATATGCATTCCTAGATTAAGATTCTACTCTGTCTACTGCCTGCTTGTGTGATAGGCGACTTCTTGATCTATTGAAGTTGAGGGGCAAGAAAACGCAGTTTTCGTTGCCAACTGTGAATGCTGTACCAACCTCACAAGATGGCTATGCGGTTGATTTTACTGTAAGGTCACTTGATGGTAGAGAGAGTGTTGAATTATCTCATGTGCTAACGGTTGATAGACTGCCTGTAAAAGCTAATGAAGAACAATTTGATGTACAAAATTATTCACATTTAAAGGGATTGAAGATTCCTACTCTGTGATGTTGATGATTGGGGTAAATGTCCCTAAAGCGTTTTGGACAATGGATGAGAGACGAGGGAAACACAATGAACCTTCGGCGAAGAAATACATTTTAGGATGGTCACTGGTTGGACCAGCTTTATCTCACGAGAGAAACAGTGATGTTCACATTCATTGCGTTCAATGCAAGAGGAAGACTTGCTTAGTAGGCAAATCAAATGTTTGTTGGAAAGTGATTTTAAAGATGCTTCCCTGTCGCCTATTCCATCAATGTCTAAGGAAGACAAATATGCATTGCAGTTGATGGAATATTCAGTTGAGATCGTGGACGGACATTATCAGTTACCATTGCCATGGAAGCCAGCAGGATGTCCTAATTTGCCAGATAATCGAAGTGTTGCGATGAAACGCTCAAAGTACATTGAACGAAAATTGAAGAGTGATCCTGTTTTGAAAAAGAAGTACTGTGATACTATGGAGAAATATATTAGTCTTGGATTTACAAAACGTATCCCGAATGAATATAAAGTTGGCCGGAAAGGTGCAGTTTGGTACTTGCCTCATCACCCTGTGTTTTCTGAACAAAAGCCAGGCAAGGTACGTGTTGTCTTTGATGCTGCATCACGTTGTATGAATATTGTACTTCCTTGAATGACCAACTACTGAGAGGTCCGGATTCGGCAAATTCTCTATTTGGAACGCTTCTCCGCTTTAGACAACATGAAATAGCTAGTGTGGCTGACATCAAAGCAATGTTCCATCAGGTGAAAGTGCGATCTATGTGGTGGCCTGGAGGTGATTTGTCACAGGATCCATCAGAATATTTTATGGTCAGGCACATATTTGGTAGCGTCTCATCTCCATTTTGTGCTAATTGGAGTCTGAAAAAGACAGCTCAAGATCCTTAAGATGAATTTGACGAAAAAGTTGTCAAAGGAGTGGAGCGAAATTTTTATGTTGCTGATTACCTGAATCTACTGTAGACCAGGGAATTCATATTGTTCGAGAAACGAGCAAATTGCTGGAGAAAAAAGGATTTCATTTAGCAAAGTGGAAAAGTTCCAATCCTGAAGTTCTGTCTGAGATTCCTGCTAAAGACAGAGCAGACTCTGCGTCAAGTGTAAATTTAGAACCTGAAAAGATCGATCGAGTACTCGGAATAAAGTGGAATATCCAATAAGATTGTTTTGGATTTAATGTTAATGTAAAATCAAAACCCGCAACAAAACGGGGGATTTTGTCTGTACTCAGTTCGATATTTGACCCGATGGGAATAGTGGCACCTGTAATACTTAAAGCAAGGATTCTGATGCAGCAGCTATGTCGAAATAATTATGGATGGGACGATGAAATATCGAATAGTGAAAATTTATTGTGGAACAGATGGCTCGAAGATATTCCTGAACTTGAGAATATATTCATGCAAAGATGTTTTGCGCCTTCTGGTTTTGGCAATATTGTGACTCGTCAAATACACCATTTTGCAGATGGCTCTGCAGTTGCTTATGGAACTGTATCATATTTGCGACTTAAAAATGAAACTGGGAAGATTCATGTTGCCTTTCTCTTAGGAAAAGCTCGACTTGCACCCATCAAAACTGTTTCAATACCACGACTGAAGTTGACAGCTGCAGCTCTTGCAGTTAAATTAGATTTATTCCTGAGACGTGAATTGGACTTTGAAGAGATAGAGTCACTGTTTTGGACAGACTCAACTTCCGTGCTTTTAGGTATTATTAATACATCACGAAGATTTCCAACATTTGTGGCAAATCGACTTGCAAAGATTGAAGAAGGATCGAATGCTTTGTAGTGGAGATATGTACCTACAGATTTGAATCCGGCAGATGATACATCCAGAAGGTTGTCGGTACAGTCATTGATGGATGAACGATGGCTAAAAGGACCATCATTTCTCCACGAGCAAGAGGAACATTGGCCTGAACCGCCAGTGCAGTTACCTGAGCTTCCTGATGAATTTGTAAGATGCAAGCCACGAGTTGTTGCGAATTATGTTACTGATTTTGCTTTGAAGCCATGGATAAATTCATTTCATATTTCTCAACATGGTATAAGTTGAAAAAGGCAAGTGCGTGAATGATTCGATTCAAAGACTACTTTCATGAGAAGAAGAAGAATTTTAAGTGCAATGAGAAACTTGGAGTTGAAGAATTGCAAGTTGCTGGTGATGATATTTTGAAAAATATACAAAGGCAAGAATTTGGCGAAGTCCTTGATGCCTTACTGAAAGGCAATCATAGAAGTACATCTGGAAAACAAGTACTGAAGAGATTGAAGATTTTAAATTTCCTGCATAAACTCAATCCGATTGTGAAAGATGGCTTCATCAGAGTTGGTGGGAGATTGAGAAATGCACCGGTTGATTTTGATGTTAAACATCCGATTATACTCCCACACAAACACCATGTAACTGAGATGATTATAAGAGAACATCATGTATCTACAGTACACATTATTTTGGTATGGGAAGTAAATGGACTTCTCTGCGACAACGATTTTGGATTTTTGAAGGAGGCGCTATGGTGAAATCTGTTATCAGATAATGCATGGTTTGTCGAAGAAGAAGTTCACCTGTGAGTAAACAGATTATGGCAGATCTTCCAAAAGAAAGAGTCACACCGGGTGCAAGCCCATTTGCATATGTTGGAGTGGACTACTTTGGACATTTTCTTGTGAAAACCAGGACGAAGCACTGTTAAGAGGTGGGGCTGTATATTTACATGCATGACAACTCGTGCCGTACACTTGGAAGTTGCATACTCGATGGATGCAGATTCATTCATAAATGCGTTAAGATTTATTGCACGTAGAAGTAGACCATTTAAGTTTATCTGTGACAACGGTAGTAACTTCGTTGCAGAAAATAAAATCCTACGTAAAGAAATAAAAGTTTGGAATTCAAGCAAAGTTGGACAATTTTTGCGTCAGGAGAATATTAAATTCCAATTCAATCCACCTACTGCTTCTAATTTTGGAGGATGTTACGAAAGATTAATTCGATCAGTTCGAAAGATTTTGATTGCTCTCTCACACGATCAGTTGGTGTCAGATGAAGCTTTGGCTACTATTTTTTGTGAAATGAAATCACAGTTGAATTCCAGACCCATCAATCCAATACGTTTTGATCCGAAGGATGATGAGCCACTCACTCCATATCTATTGCTATTACTGAATCCTGCAAGTAATTTACCTCCCGGCATATTCGACAAAAAGGATTGTTACACTCGACGAAGATGGCTACAAATTCAGTATTTAGCTGATCAGTTTTGGATCAGATGGACCAAAGAATACTTACCCACACTTCATACACGACAGCAATGGACCTCTAAAGCATAGGTTCTCAAAGTGCTCCGTACGGAGCCCCAGGGCTCCGCGAGAGAAACCCAGGGGCTCCGCGAGCTATTCGATTACTTTTCAAAATACTGATTTGGCTAATTTAAAACTGTTCCTAGAAGCAATAACAGCTTTGATAAAATTTAACAACAATATAGCCTCGAAATATGGCAAAGTGGCTTACTTAAAAAATGACATTATTTATAAGCAGGAGCGCAGCCAGGATTCTTAAAAGGGAGGAGGTTCAAATTTGGAATCGGAAATTTATGCGCAACATTCTTGGCGATTCAAAAAAAACGGATAACGAGATTTCTGTTGCGTAAAATATTCAATTCATGACCGATGTGAGCGTGTCTTGTCGTAATAATTTAATTGTGCTCATCGTTACTCACGTTCGATTCCAGATTACTATTAGGATTACTAAAATGAAAGAATACTATTCTAAAATAACATAAACTGCCAACTATAAATAAATTGGAGTCGTATTTTTGCGATCTTGGGATTTGTTAAACTTGATTTGTTCTCCGTCGGTAGTTTTAAGAGTGGAAAAATTTTATTCTGACGTGAGTCTGCTGAAACAAAACGTATAGTGTTATCTTCCATTTTAAGTTTTAGTTCTAATATTTTAGAATGCCGCTTTTTAATCAAGAAATTTGAATTGCGGATTTACCTCTTTATTAACTATTATTTTTAGCATTTCGTCGCCGATGATTATAAAATGGTAACATGTTTTTCACATTGAACTTATAATTCCCCACGAGAACGAAAAAGCAATTATCGTCGTCATTGTGGAACAATACATGTATATGCCGAAGGAAATTTTTGATTTAGTGAGAATAAACACCGGCGTAAAGATGTTTGAGGTTTAAAAACACGCCATGCTGACGAAAATAATCGGCGATTGTAACAAAATGCAATCGCGCACGTTATTAGCGACCTTTTGGGTCTTCCAAAAATGTCAAGAGGGGAAACGATTCGACGCCTAATTTATTAATATGTTTGTCATGTGTCAAATTTACAGCTTTAGTATATACAATTTATCTTTGAAATTTAGATTTATTTATGACTTGTATTAACCCTATTAAAAGGGTTTAGTATAACGTACTCAGGAATATTAATCGGAAAGTAACAATTTTAACATTTATTTTGGGGCTCCGTGAATAATAGTCAACCTTTTCAAGGGCTCCGCAACGCCAAAAGTTTGAGAACCCCTGCTCTAAAGAACGTAATATGGCAGTTGGTGCTATTGTGCTATGTGAGAAATTTGTGTGTAAGATGTTTTAACTGGGTTCCAACATCTGGCTGGGGGAATGTTACATCGAGAATTGCATTCACTTGATTTTTGTATTGACTCAAACATTGCGTCCGTTTAACTTGTGTAGTAATTTATTTGTTATTGTTGACGCCGTAATTTCACCTGATTGACAGTGTGCTTCCACACACTTTGTTACGAAACAATTGAGAGAGTCTTCGGGGGCAATTGCTTGCCCAGACATGTCTCGCTTAGAAAAGGGATAGTTTCGGTAATTTGCTTTAGATAGCGCTTTACTTTTGCAGAGAATGGCGCACGTTTTGTTGTAATTTGTAAATGAGTTAAAATTGTTCAGCGACCTTGACTTTCTGTTTTGACAGTAGGACGATTAAATATTGTAGAATATGGCTGTTCCACATAGGCCTAGTTTAGGGATGTTTATATGAGCATTAGATTGCCTTTGTGATTGTTTTTACAGGTATAGGTTATTTAATTGGTTTGTTCGGATTTCATTGACGAATGACTTCATGTTCAACTTATGATAATTTAAGCCTGGAATAGCAGACAAATTCGGTATGTTATAATTTGTAACTCTTTCTGATTTGAAGGCTGCAAGTTATTTAATAGTAATTTGGTTAGACTTGTTAATCAACTATGTTTGATAAATGTGTTCATAAAGTTGAGAAGGCTTTCTAAAGGCCGAATTGTGTACGATTATTTATTTATTAAGTATTTTGTATTGATTTGTTTTTACGTTTGTATTAAAATAACTGTGTCAACTGTATACTTCGAGTTGTGTGATTTTCTGGATTGAGGATACAAACTTGGGGATTGAAAGACCGCGTTATCGAACTGTTAATAAATATCTAGTGTGCAGTTGGTGTCGTCCAGGTCACAAAGAACGGCTGTTACACTACTGCCTATCTCGCTCAGCCTTCCTATCTTCGACCCTCTGACCGTCAGCCTTTCTGCCCTCGAAACAATTCTCCCACAGCCTTCCTATCCTCAACCACTGCGCAATCGTCCACAGCCCTCCTATTCTCGACCAGTCGCCTTACCTCTCTCAGCCTTCCTATCCTCGATTCACTGCCCCTTCTCCCTCAGACTTCCTACTCTTGACCCACTGCCTATCTTCCCCAGTCTTCCTACCCTCGACCCACAGCCTTATCTCCCTCATCCTCCCTACCTCGTCCCACTGAGTTGGATCATTTGTAATTGCAATTGATGTAATTAATTACAGGTTTTCATGTGATTGAGGAATTTTCAGTCTGTGTAAATGTAATTTGCTAAAATTTGGCTCAAATACACTTTCAATTACACGAGGGGTCACCAAACTACAGCGTTCTTTCATCTGGCCCGCAATAACACGAAAAAGGGTGAAATTTTTTTCCAAGGGGCTTTTTCCGAGAATCGCCTTCCTTTCTCATTTCGTAACATTAGCCAATCAGCAAGATGCGAAAAAGTGACGTAACATTATGCTTTTTTGCATCTGTTAAGACAGTCAGACAAATTTTCAGTCGTGGTTGTAAACTTTACCTCATTTTGCGTTTTCGAATGCTATTCTTTAGTTTTTAGTTGTGTTTCGGAAATTTAAGTATGGATCAAATAAGTCAATCATTATTTACCTCCTTATGAATTGTAGTTTTAAAAGTTACAATGAAAAAGTAGTCTGGAAATAGCTGTGAAAAATAGGCTAAATCCATGGGAACACTGGCTGTCTGGTTTGATTCTGTAAATTCTTGCCACGCGAAACTCGGGAATTTTTTTGAGGGTAGCAGTAGCGTCAAAGGGCTGTTTCGCTCTGTGGTGAATTTGGTGGTCGGGGCGTTAAGGTTAAGTCAAAAATAACGAAGCTGTATATAGCGAGTGTGGAAGCGGTGGGGTCAAGTGCGGTGGTCTGAGGACGCGTGAGGGAGACAGCGCAGTGTATCGAGGAGATGAAGAATAGGGCAGTGGGTCGAAGGTAAGAAAGCTGATTGAGATAGGCAGTGGGTCAATGTTGAACTTATTTCCAACATCAAACTTTATGTTATCGCCGATTTCAAAATGTCGTCAGATTTGGGAGTTACAACGCAATTTACATTCGAGATAAATTGGTTTTCAATCTTTTAGTGAAGCGGAACTCCAACGAAAAATTCCGAAAGCTCGAGGAACCCTTGTACAATAGTTTAATTGTTTTTTATCATCTACAAACTATAAATATATATATATATGAGCAAATCTTAATACCGACATTACAAAATGATCGTTTAAGTGTATCTAGTTTAATAATAGTGGCAAACGTAACAGGTGTCTTATCATAGACATACGATAGACTAGACTGGAGTCTATTATTTTTGCCCAAACGCCATTATTGAGTACAAGTGCACATACGCTGCTTTACATATAAATAACTGATATGGAGCTGTGTTTACAACTTTTATACGATATCAAACCCGTAAACTATTTTCCATCCGTAAGTACATAACTGCAGGACCACACTTTAATTAACAGATATCCTCTGTAACACGGGACACACGGCCTAGAAAATGTGGAGATGTCACAAAGAGTTGCAAAAGTAACGTTTCTAATTGCTTCTAGGTAATTAGTTAATTACATATGATGCCGTTGGTATTCTTTTGCAGATTAGTAACACACCAGTACGGACGCAAATTTTATATTCGACGGGTGCCAATTGTGCCCACCGAGTTGCATGCTAGCTAAGCTGTCGTTGCTAATTATATATATCGAACTGGCGTTGGCCAACGAACTGTTGTCGTGGTTGCGTATGAAACCTTCCCCACGTAATAAATTAAACAGCGACATAGCGTCCATTTGTTACATACCAACAACTTTTGATTATTTGTCTTAGTTTATTGGATTGGTCATGAACATCAAATGTGATTGCTGTTTACTGTTTTATTTTCGGTATGCTCTTCCGCTTGATGAGAAGGAATTTATTAAATTTACATAAAGTTTAATGCTAAAATACGAAAGAAAATAAAAAAGTGCAAAAACATTACAATAAATATAAAGAATACAAAAGTTTGTTTGTTCGCAGTAATTATAAATATCACACGATAAACTTGGTGAAAATGGAAATTTAAAATATAAATTGAAATAATATTTATCTCCTTCAAAATATAAAAATAGGGAAGACAATATTTTGTTGCGTTTGAGGGAATCACAATTAGCAATAGAAATTGGTTGAGAGGGATTTGAGGATAAGGTTGAGGATAAGATTTATCCTAAACCATTATTAATTGTTTATAGTCCAGCTTCTTTAACATATTAGTCGGATGAAAGATTGTGAAAATGCTTGATATTATGCATACTTAGAGCGAATATGAAAGATTGTACATACACAAATCCTTTGTATATCCTGCTCAAGTTTAATTACAATTACACCGCCGCATGTTTGGGTATTTCCAAGTACATCATCTCTAATTGTGGGACGAAAAGTCGAAGATAAATCTTCCAGAATCCAGTCTTACTAATATTGTCATCGCTTCCTGCTCTCATCTTTTCTTCCATTCCTTTGGAAGAAGTGCCTTTGTATAGAACGTGGTGATGCTCTTATATTTTAGTTCAATGTCCTCCACTCCTCTTATTCTTGGCGTAATTCATGCCACAATTTTTTCGTTTCAGTAGCTTGCTAATTCTTTTATTTGATCTTCGCCACTTAGTGATGCTATGGAGCTTCAATTTACTGCCTTGCTGCCATCCTGCGATAAGGTAGTCGCTGTGTACACCATCCAAGACATCACAAGTGCAGTTCAAACCATCTTTCATCCAAATCGTACTCTTTTTAGCCATTTTCCGACCTGCTGATTTTGAGTCTACTTGATCAAGCCACTTGAAGACCGAACGAGATTTCTTTTCCAGTAAGATTTTTGTACTGCCTTTGTGATATGAGACCAGCTTTACCCGTGCTTTCATGACTACGAATATAAAACAAAAAAAATTATAAATAAAGTACCAAAACAGTCGTTTATCGCGCTGAAAAACTGAAGCAGCGTTATGTACCAAACGAACGATGGATGAATATTGTAAATGCTCAAAATATTAATAAGGTATCTACTCACCAAAATCAAAAGAACATAGCTTTTTCTTGAAACTTGAAGTTATTTTCTTTTGACGGCAAGGCGCACATGTCTTAGTAGCTGTAAATAAGAACAAAATATAGAATAAATATTGTGCAGTGTACATTTTCAGCACAAAAATTCATAGGTTGGAATCTCTGTATAAAAACACTGTCTATTTGGTAATTTCAATGGTTTACAGACAGTAGGAGATTTAAAATCACAAATGAATAGAACTGCGAACGGTATGTTGTCATACTGGACATTTCTAAACGAGACAAAAAAACTTGTCACTTGTGTCAAAATAAAGACAGTTATCGTTCCGCTAGTATAGGACGTCCTGTAATAATAAAAACCCAATTTATTTATTTGAAACCTCTTCCGTATCGGCGGTCCATTCTAATTCGAACATAGAATATCACATAGGAAATGAAATGTCGTGTCGGAATTTAAAGATCGTTTAGCGTACGCCCTGCTTCATTTCGTTTCAAAGCGATATCGGAGTAAAACCGAATGGCGACGAATGACAAGCGCTAGACAATGTTTTATGATACGATGACGGCGTGTGTTCTTTGAAACTCAATTAAGTGGAAACAACGAAATAACTTGCGCCTCCCGTTTGCCGTGCGTGCTTCCGAAACCATCAATAGCCGTGCTGTAATTTGCGAAAAGGTGTGATAGACACTTTTTGGAGATTTTCCACCTTGCCTATCAGAACAGTACAAAATCAATAAATGACTCTGCCAAAATAACCCGGAAATGTTTTGTTACGCTCAACACAATGCATAAGTGAATTGTGCCATCAAAAATCGCTGAAGCGCAGCCAAATTTGCACTTGGTTTCGCTTATTTACTTCTCGCGGACAGATGGTTTAGTTTTCACAGGTGTGATGCAAGTCATCCACTCAAAAAGAATACTAAATCTATGACAGAGGTTTACAAGCTTTTATTGGTGGTGATTGCTGAGTTGTTGGCCTACAATTTTCTTTTATTCAAAAACAAAGCTTTTCAGGCATTAAGAAGTTTATTTTTTTTGCGACTTGAAGAGTGACATTGAGTACAGCATATTATGTAAAACAACTTTTTCTCCGGGAAAGCATATAGGCCCTTTAAGGTAGGCCTATATAAGTATATCTTTCCTTTATTTCCGCGAAACATCAATCACACTCACTTATCAACAATTCCTCAGGAATGGTCAGAAAAAAGTTGAATGATTTTCGCATCTCAAAAATCTCGTATTCTTCATTTTTATTGAACAGTATCATCCTGAACGTGTTTTTATAATCCAATCGTATCAGTGGATTTTCACCAAATCCAATTTGCGTGGGTGGTTCGAACAACGTGACATTTTGTTTACAAAAATGTAATCCCTACCAAATAAACAAAAACAATAAACTACATACCAGAAGGGGTCATATTGGGCGTTGATATCTTCGGCGTCTCTGAAGGAATGCATAGGGTATCGTCAGCAGGGAATTGAGAACAATCTAGCATGTGTGGCCAAGGGTAAGCGAACCGCGCCATTGCAGGAGAACAACCGTCACGTACTGCTTCGCAAAGTGATCGGCATGGGGGGATGGGTTTGCTGAAATCTGTAAGAAAAATATTATATTAAGAGTTACATGTATTCACCATGACCCAACAAAAACAGGAGTGACGTAAATATAAGTTGTGTGGTCTTTATGCGCAATGAAATTTGAAAAATAATGACAGCAATCTGAACTTATAAATTTAAAGTCGACGTGCAAAATAAACACGTTTACATTTTATAATATGTTAAAGCTATGAATATATATAAAGCGAGAATACCCCGAGAATAAACTTAATAGTTCTATTTTGGTGCATGACAGAAGAAGATTCACGAAATTTTCCAGACGAATTGACACTTACCTTCAACGCAAACCGGTGCGAATACAGAGCATAGAAACTTTCGCGCTTCGGGATGACATCTGGTGGCCAGTAAAGGAGTCCATTCATTGGATTGTTTTTGAAGTTCGTCCATGGAATCATGTCCACGGAGGTTTGGCAAGTGCATTCTAGGAGTGAGAAGAAAAATATAGTTCATAATACAGAAAACCGTGCGCGCATAACAAATAAAAAATTAGCCTCAAGACCGTCTCAAGTTAAATTGTTACCAACCAACCATCTGGCACTTTTTAGCTCATGATCTCCATATGACCAGAAAAGTATTGTAAAAGTAATGTTATTTACTCACTTTTTATACCCAATGTCATAACAAAGGGCAAACTGCGGTGGAATTTCTTTACACTGAGTCTGTCTGTATTCCGTTACGGGTGGGTGAAATATATCGGTGAAAGCTTCCACGACTGGCGAAGCCACAGAAACCGGCGGGGGCAATCTCGAAACCCCCTTCTTTTTGTTCCTGTTTTTCCTGCGCTGACGTTTTTCGACTACTACATTGGAAGAGTCTAATATCCTTCGAGTAGGCCGCTTCTTATGGGACTTCGCTGCTGTTTCTTGAGCGGCATCAACACATAAAATCAAAGTAATCAACAAAACTGTTGCCAGTATTATAAAAAATTTCATATTCGTTTTTCCTTATAAGCCAATCAATATACCTGACAAATGAAAACATGTCGATCAGTAAGTACTAAAGCTAGGATAACCGTACGGGGCTTGCCATCGTTAAAATGTCTACGATATTTATCGAACGACGGTTGTGTCTACCCATCAGGAGCACCGCCGTATATTGAGATCCCACGATTTTGGCATAGTTTTGATATATTAGAATACATATGCGTAACATGAATGACAATAGGGTTTCTGAAGTACGATCCACTTCGCAAAACCAAGCCGGTCTAACAGTTACGAGAGAATGAGGTCTTGTTCGTCTCTCAAAAGCTTTTATATTGAGTGCAAAAGTGATTTCAGCTACGCAGAGACGAAAAAGCGCGCGTGTCGGTTTGTGCCGTTTGAACGCCACCGCAATTTCACCACCGTTTGGGTCTCATCCTGGAGTAGGCTGCAATATTTTGTCGCGTTTGAGATGAAGGTTTCTATTTGTTTTGCTTTCAAATAGTCTGAATACATCTCAGAAATCAGTAATGTTTATTTACCACTGGTACTTCTTCTAACTGAAATCTAAAGTAGGCTAACTTTTGCAGGTACAATAAATGAAATCGGTGTTATTTGTCTAATTTATACCGATTCCTTGGTTGTGGCTTTTAAAGCACTTCAGAGTTAAAAGAGTCAAGTAGAGGTTGTATAGGACCATGCGATTTCCCAGCAAAGCGTATTCTTTTATGACGGCTATGTATGTGCCACTACGAATGAAGCTGCCAGCTAAGCAAAACCTTCACAAAACAACTATTATACCTCTGCCATCAACGAAATGCTTTTATATCGCCATCTTCACCCTTTATTTTTCAAAGGTATGGTAATCCTTTAAAAGCTAGGATTAGACGAAGTAATATAATCGACATATTACATACGTAAACTATATTCTCATGTTTGCTTTTGAACGGGAGGGGGTAATTACTGATAACTGCTGAATTGTTTTGGTTAAACGGCTTCACCCTACTGATCATCTTATGAATACCTTATGGTCAAAAACAAACAACAGCACGCGAGTAATTTCCGTGCATTGTATTTCTAAACGCGTGCCTTATCGGAAGTTTCCGTATTTATCTACATTGTTAATTATTTGGTAATTTATTTCGTATGTTTACACGACTGAATTTGCTATTTAAATTTCGTATCTTGATTGAATAACCTTTATAATTGATAGGATGGAAATTCAAGTTGATTTTTCTAAATTGTATATATTTTTTTTATAGAAGACTGTAAATATATCTATATATATATATTCTATAAGATGGAGATACTCTGAGTGGTAATTTTATAACTGTATTATTTTGCATTAACTATTGAAAAAAACTGAAATGACTACATTGGTCCTGACGTAAATCACGGCAATTTTGGGAACTTTATCAAACCAAAATCCTGAAATACTAAATTCCTGTACTAGCTGGCACAATAACTTTGCCCAAACTGCTGGTCTTTTACCCTTTTTGTTTTTGTATGATTTTTATGACAAGAGAGCATTGCTCAAATATTTTTGGAGCCAAACGCCCAAACAAAGTAGTACTAAATCACTGAGATGTTGCCACAAATCCATGACACGCAATTTTTAATTTTGATAACGTCAATACACATAACTTTGAAGGGAAAATCGAATCCCACTGAGCTCACATATGCTATAGTTTTGAAATAAATAAAAGTGATATCCTTCAAGCGATAACAACAAGCTTCAACCACTGAACATTTCGAAGAAATTAGTCCAGCGATTGAAGAGAAAAGCAACATGAAAACAAAACGACCCGAAGGTTCACTCCATGTCCAATAAACTTTTTAAACATTGTTTGGTACTTACTTCCTGGTAGTGTAAAGTAAGTCACGTACACCTGTCACCAATCAAAGTTACTTTGGACGAATAACTATAACAACAATATTAAGAGTACCGGTACATTTTCAGAAAATATATGTTCACCTACAAAGGTTATGAAGATGTAAGCAGTGTGCTAGCCTGATTAGACATCTTGATTTATTGGTTGGCATTGGCAAGGCTGACTTGAAAACATAAACAAACGTGACTAATGATAATGTTTGGCGGGAAAGTAACTTCTCCTCTTCGGAACCAGATGCGGGGCCAAGTGGTCGAAGGCACTTCCACGCCAAGTCATGTTCGTAAATTCTTTTACGCAATTGTGACGAATGAAAAAGTAAATTACGTTTAGGGTAAGGTAAAATTAATATTTCAATGACGAAAAGTATTTGAGAACGCAGAGGACAAAAAATATTAGGGGAAAAGTCGATAAATAATTTTTTCTTATTTTTTTTGACAAATACGTATACCGTACATATACATAAATGATATCATTGTCATATATATGTAATCAAACGTACATCTTGACTGCAAAGTCGAAAAGTTTGTTCTTGATTTTTAACCAAATTTATAAAGTACGTGAGTCTCACTCATAACAATCCTGGAAATATGTCATCATTTACTTTCGCACGAGAATCAGTTACTAGTTTGTGGTAAACTATAAATTGTTGAATTTAAAGAATGCTAATTATTTTCACCATGACAGCTTTACAAGACACTTTTTGATATTTTTGCTCTTTGCTACACATGGCTTCGAAATATTTTAGCTCAATTCATTTTTGGTATTCTTGCGTTTTCTATCTTTTTATGTGATATATACCCATATAAAGCTATTGTATAGGTAGTCCGACAGCCCTTATATTATAATTGTCCAAAACTACTCAGTGAATCTCTTTACGAGAGAGGTGGTGTTCCGTCATATAAAGGCTGAAATTTGGTATTCTTCGCAACGGAAAAGGTATACTTAAACGATTTTTAAACATTTTTTGAAGGACTGATTGTTCAATCATAATTTCTTAAAATATTTAATGCGGTAAACTGGTAAGAGTTTTTATTTCACAAAATGATAAGCATTCAAAAAGGATCCGAAATCTGAAGTAAACTCACAGATGCAAACTAACATAAACCGCGGCAGCTAATAAAACAACACGCTTATTGAACTCGCCTCAAATTTTGTCAAAAACTTGCATTTTCCTTACTTCTTAAGTTCATACTTTACAAAATAATATCCTGTGCTAGCACATTTATATGCGGCTTTTGCAATTCTTGCCAATAAGGTCAAAATGCTACCGTCCAATTTTGCGTTAATTGGGGGAGTCACGCCCCATCAAAAACACCGTTTACTAAATCCAATTTTTGTCACGGTTGCTTAAAATGCTAAATGAGCGCACCGACTTATTTGCGGCCCTTTCACGTATATATCAGTAGCCGGGCCGCAATCACAAAACCAAAAATCGTTGTTGTATAGTGATCTTCATAGATGAGGTCAAGCACCAAAACAAAACAACTCAAGATTAAAAACGGACCTACTTTTTGCAATACGCACAGAATTGCAGGCCTCCACAAATCTCCCCGCGATTGATCTTACGATTGTTAGCTTTTAAGCGGTGAAACCTGTGTTTGCGAAGGCTTATCCTTTCCCAATAATAGAACCCAGGACTGTACTTAAAGCAAATTCCATGTAAGCGGATTCTCGAAGCAAAAACAGTGCTTATTATATACAAATGATGATCCTTGACGGGAGCCATAAATCGGAATGAAATTGTATAATTTATTGTATTTATTCTGCTTTCTTTCCCACAGAAGTTGTTTAAGATAAGTTGACGGAATAGGGTGTGGGAATAGTTCTCATGTTCATACCTAGTATGGGTCATTACGTTAATGGAACATAGAGGATATGCAACACGAAACACACATACACGGGCAATCCACTTGAGTAACACCGAGAAAACTGTTCTTATAAAACATGAAGTTGTTTACCTTCAGATTAAGAGGGTCAGGAATGTAACAAGTGCGAATGACGCAATATACCCAGCAGTATTTGAGTACTTTTTCTAGAAAAATAATATTTTGTGTTCTTTCAAGTCAATCACGTTTGTCAAATGTCTCAAACCGTACCTCAATTTTACATACAGTTAGTTTAAAATTTACAAATCCTGCTTTATTAGTCATAAGCGAGATCTAATGAGGGTAAGGCTAAATGAGAAATATTACATAATATTGAAACACTAGGTATAATATTGAAACACTTACGTATTCAGTTAACAATTTTAACTTTAAATATATTCTTATCTCTTGCGAGAAAAAAAAATTTGAACCTCTAATTCAATCTACTACTCTTCTCTGTTTAGATTTTAAAAAAGTTCGAATTACCGTATTTCCCGGCGAATAAGTCGCTTTTTCTAGACCCAATTTTTTGCCTGATTTTGGGGGGTCGTCTTATTAGGCGAGTATGATAATTTTTATCATTTCGGGATCGGCTCATTATTCAATTCGGACCATAAAATACCCATAACGTCTTCATCAAGTCAGTCTAAATGAATCGGCATTCTCGCGCTGTAAATCTGGATTTTCAACGCTGCGATTATCATATATGAAGTTGCCCTTTCATGTATATTCATTGTCGTTAATTAAATTGTACTTTCCGGGATTTTATAGCAGATCTTGGGATTTTTACATCGGCGATAACGAATTAGCAAGAACGCAAAAATATGTATCAAAACTAAATATAATCAGGCAGTTTATCTCACATTGTTATGTCTGCAGATTGCTGTGTTATGTTAGATCAGTAATGTTCTTATTTGGTGGACACAATCGCGAGTTATGTTGAACACAATTAGATTAAAATTGAAAGACAGTTTGAATTCCCGTAGTTGTCATGGACTGAATATTACGCTACAACAAAAGTCGTTATGGACTATTTTACCGAATGCGCAAACGGCTGCGACCGCTCAGAAGCCCATGCATGGTAATTTGAGATTCCGATTTTGATGCGATTTTACTGCCTGTCTTATTGGGAGGTTATAAGCAAAAACGCATTTTTTCAAGCTTGAAAACGGGCCTCGTCTTATTTATCGGGTAGACCTATTCGCCGGGAAATAGGTAATTGTTCCATTTGTTCACAAAAAATGTGACGCTTTTAGTATAGAATAAATCAAATTCTTGAGACTAAATCATCAGCAAAAAAACATCACAACCATGCCACCAGGTGCACTTTGCCAAAAATTGAGGCGAGATTAGAACGCTTGCTTCACAAATCAAATAATCTATCCTCGGTCTGTTTAATATTCTATATTTTTTACGAAATTTATTGGTAACAAGGCACGAAATGGAAGCCACCCTCGATGTTGCTACTTAATTGATGAAATTATTTGGATAACAAAGGTAATTAACCAGCTGTGCAATATTGCAAAACATGACTATATATATTGACTTTTGATTATTTGAATCTAGCTGATCGACGTCATATAGACCCTCTTCCGACAACAACATAAACAACGTACGACGTAAACAATCTTCTTGAAAATTGGTCTCATGACAGATTGTAGTACAGTAAGCCCGTAAGGTGTGATTCGTGTCCAGGTATACGCCAGTTTTTCGCTTTTTCAAAATATGTCAAATATGAATCCTAAATTTTGGGTGTCGCTGCCAGCTTTGGATTTACGACTTCCCTTCCCCTCTTTTTTCTCATAATTTGTTTACGATTGATTTTTACTGGTTGGTTATTGGGCATGTATTCCATACATTTACAAAAAAGTTCAATTACCGTATGTCACATGTGGCAGATAAATTTGGTCCAACATAAATTTTTCAATAATTTTTAGCAATGCAAACATAAATTGTTGATTCTGAAAAAAACGATTGTTTACATAAACTTTATTCAATAAGATGACGCCCAATTAAAATAAATGTCACGAGTTAACAATAAAAAATAGATATAGATGTACAAAATTTGCAACATTATGACGATACAAACATAAAAATATTGTATTGATGACATTTTATTTTTGTTACGTTAACCACAAAATAGATCCATTTCACGCCTTTCACCCCTGAAGTACAAATATAAATGACGTGACGTATTTTTGTCCGTTTTCATTGTGGCGCACAATTGACGGCGACGTTTTTTTAGATAAACCGCCATTTGACACAAAGGGAGGGCGTGTTTTGCACATAATCAGAATCCAAAATAGCAATCTGAAAATGTTTCGTAAACATGCCAAACGGTTCGACTCTGTGAAAAATGCCTATTTATCGTGACTACAGCAAATTAGAATTAATAAACTCAGAAATATTAACTCCTGTACAGAGAACATGAACTTGATTTGTTTTCAATCCAGCATCAGTCGGTACTGACACC